CACACAATAGCCTACAATCCTTCGTTTCAATTGTTCCACTAACCTATCGAAATTGACACCGCCATCTACAGACAAATAATTATTGATTAGGCACGTATCGATTATTAGATTTTCGTATGTTGTTGAACCTCCCAATGACTAATCTGTCTGCTTACTAATAGGGTTTTACACCACCACTCATGGGATTGTATCCAATGTTTTGTTTTAATGACAATATGTTTAGGCCTAATCGTGACTCGTTAAACTGGAGTGATAAAATAATTGATTTGATCTTCACGTTCAATGTTTCGATTTTTGACAAGGGAGGCTACTTTACAAGTATATACATACGTCTAGTGTCCGGTGGGAACCTACTGAAGTAACTGAACAGGCCTACTCAGTAACTACCACCAATGCTATAGCGATGATGTACCGTATTATTCGAAGTTAACTATTACTGAGACTAATTTTTGGTAATTTTTGGTCGTAAAAACGAAGAATATAGAGGACAACAATGCTAACGGGTCTTTGAGTGTATTGGTTATTTTGATGTTTGGGTGAAAATTTTGAGGGGCGGGTGAGTGATAGAATCTCAGAATTGCTAATTGGACATCGCTAGTAACTTCAGCACTTTCGTCCAATGTGTTTTGCTGCTTGTGTGCAACGTGTGGTCAAGTTTATTAAAGTTTATTTCATATTAGTTGAGGAAGTTTTATTTATTTATTTGGTTTAATTTTAGTAATAGGCCTACAGTACCTATCTACAGCTGATCTGAAAGTTGATTTTTCATTAGCCTGGATGACCTCAGATGGAAGGTTATTCCAATCATTTATTGTTTTGGGCAAGAAATTATGTTTGTAAGTTTGTGTGCGACATTGAATTGGGGTGTATTTATGTGAATTCACATTTCTTTGTTTTCTGGACGGTTTACTGACATACGTCGGAATATTTATATCAATATCATTTTTGATGGCTCGTTGAAATAACAATAACCTGGGTTTTTTTCGGCATTGTTTTAGAATTGGCCACTTAAGTGATTGTAGTATTGCGCTGACATTTGATAGAGGGGTAACCCTATCCCCCAACCTGGTTGATCGATGACTAGATATTGTTTGGTGCTCATAGTTTCATATCCTTGTTATCTTTTATTTATTACTGTATATGTTGTTTACACTTGTAACACTTCCAGTGGAACGTAATTTCAGGGTATTTCAGATAAATAAAATTATCTTGAATTTTGAATCTTGAATAGACCACTGCCTAATAGCAATATATTAATATTACACAAGTATAAATGTACTGTGGCATTGAATAACAAGAAGAGGATTAGAAGTGATTAGAGATTTTAAGACGGGTAGATCAACAAGCCTTAATGGTTTGTATATTAAGTTACAAAGAGCCTATTGTCCTATTAGGTATTCACGACAAATTCGTCAGACATTTTGAATTTGAGAGTTTACCTGTTTCACAAATATACTTGCAGGTAGTCAACCTGTGAAAGCATCACATGACGTGATTTAATTACCTCATCAAAAACAATCCGTCTTATGAACGATAATGTTATTCATCACGTGAACTTCGTGCTACTTATTATTGGATAATTCAAAGCTATAACATTGTGTTGTCATAACACGAGTGATTAGACTACATACTGGTAATATTAGTGATAAAATTCTGTCTTTTCATCTATTTTTCTTTCAGAAGGATTCATAATCTAACTAAATTTTTGTGACGAGATATTGGTGAGGATGTCAAAGAAGGTATTATGGTGTTTATGATTTTATGTGGGGAGGTTTAGACTCATTTCTTTTAAAATGCTTTTGTAAGCCTAATTCCATTTATATATGCATAGACAA